ACATCAGATTCTTAGTTCAAACACACCTTTGTAAAAAGGTGCAAATGATACCTAATGTATCAATGAATAAGACTAAGTTTGAATACTTGCATGTCTCGTCTGTCTGAAAGAAAGGCTTGATCCAGTCTGAAGGTCCCAGTTGATCTTTGCTGAAGTTGGTTGATGAAAAAGAACCAGTTTGAGTCAGAGAATCTTGTTGAATGGAAAAGTCAAGGCCGAAGCCTGGCACGTACTTAGGGGGTTGCAGAAGCGTTCTAGCTCATGTCTTCATCTTAGAATCTAACCGAACCACCGACTCTGGGTGAGTCCCTGGTGTGGGGCTTTTAATGTCTCGGAAGATTCCCGCCTCTCAAAATGGGCTTGTCCAATGAGAAAGGCTGACGTCCCAAGTGGGAGTTTTGAGATACTGGGGGAGTTTTTATGACCCTTTGTGTGAGGGCATGGTACTTTGCAAATGGAACTTTAATCGAAATTACTAAAGATTGTCAGGACACTAATACATTGCCTATGTACCAACATATAATATACACGCTCGTTTAGATCATCAGAAGGCGAATTCATAGATACTAAACATGGTGAACATGAGTGTTTCCATCATAAGCCTGCATAAAACAGTATAAAATCTCAAAGACAACATACACCATGACCTGAAGGATATGTGTGTTCATTCAAAGAAAGGTCTTCCTATGAATTAATTAGTAGAAAAGTAAATTTCTACTGTGCATTTGTCTCTTGCTATGGAACATGCAGTGATTTTCCCTGCTCACATTCCATTAGGTCGTAAATGTATCTGGTGTCAGGGTTGCCATGGTAACCAGGGGGGCCTGTGTCGTTGCAGACATCCTGGCATCCAGTTTATTGGGTGAGGGGACTGTAACGATTTGTTAATCTAATGAATAACTGATTTGTTAAATCAAATGAAAAATTGTGTGTTTGATTGGTCCAGACGCTACAATATGCACTATATACACACACACACACTTAAAATGATCAGCACCAAATTTTTTCCACAAGCACTGCTCAGGGACAAAGCGATTGTTTTTTCCTTTTAAGCTCCCTGTGTTTTCTGTTCTGGGCTTGTTTGTCTCACATATGTACCTGTTCATGCCTTGTTTTCTGTCTGCCCTGTGCCCAGTTTATGACCCGTTTTCAGCATTTATGTTACTCTTGCTTTTTCCTCTTTGGGGATATTTCAGTTGTGTTTTTGTTCATTCTGTGATTTATAAATAAAGAGTCCCCATCTGCCTGCATTTGAGTCTTCACCTCTTTCGAACCGTGACAGAACAAAGGAGCCACTTGAAGACTCCGCAGCGATGGGAATTGTTTTATACCCAGCTCCCGGACAACAAAGGATCCAGAACCTGGCCAATGGGCCGCATCCCTGCCCACAGGAGAATCGCCCCTTTGGGCTGTACGCCAAAGACATATTTTATGCAGGCCAGGGGCTAGGGCTTGAAGAGAGCACCCTCGTCCACCTGTTACTAGCGGGCCTGGACGAGCCGATCGACTGGGAGGAGCTGGGGGAGCTAGATATGTGGTCCTATTGGGAGATGGTCGACCACATCATCTATTTGAAGGAGGTAGAACTGCTGGAGAGTGCCCCCCTCCCAGTCAGGGCTGCCGTTCCAGAACCTCCTCAGGTCGTTCCGGCCACTTCCAAGTTCTTGGGGTCGTTGTCTGGGCACCCCGGGCTGAGACGCAGCGTGGAGGATCCTCCTCTGATGTCAGTGAGGGAGGCGGTGGCTGCTCACGATCCACCCGAGGCAGCGGGGCCCGCTCACGATCCTCCCGAGGAGGGGGGGCCCGCTTATGATCCTCCCGAGGCGGCTCTGCCTGTTCACGATGTTCTCAAAGCGGCAGTGCCCATTCAGGATCCCACTATGCTCCCGCTCACGATCCTCCCAAGGCGGCGGTGCCCGCTCACAATTCTCCCGAGGCGGCGGTGCCTGCTCATGATCCTCCCGAGGCGGCTGTACCTGTTCACGATGTTCTCGAAGCGGCGGTGCCCGCTTAGGATCCCACTGAGGCAGCGGTGCCCGCTCATGATTATCCCGAGGTGGCAGTGTCTGCTCAATATGTTCCAGAAGCAGCGGTGCCCACTCACGATTTTCCCGAGGCAGCGATGCATGCTCATGATTTCCCCAGCTCTTGAACTCTGCACCTGTCCTGTCATGGCCAGGGTGGCCTTCTCCAAACTCTGTGCCTGTCCTGTTGCGGCCAGGGAGGCCGTCCCTGAATGCTTTGTCTGTCCGGTCCCGGCCAAGTTGGCCGTTAAGATTATTATTTTGCCTTTTTATTCCAAACCCCTCTGGTCTGTCCCTCCCGTTCCTCCCTTGTCATCCACCAGGGTCCCTGAGCCTCCCAATACTCCCTGGCTTATTGGGAGGCGTCCCTTTTGGGGAGGGGCACTGTCATGGTCCTGTTGCAGCGATCTGGTTTAGGCCTATTTGGTAATTTGGTGACAGGGCTCTGACAGTCCCTGTGTCTTGTTTGTGTGAGGGGCGCTGTTTCGCGCTCGCTTGAACTGTGCCCTCTTCCCTGTGTATCCTGATTTGTGAACGCATGGTTTGGGCTGGCTCAGGTCGTGTTCCCTCTCGTCTTTGTGACTTGTTGTCTGTGCGGGGTGTGATGTTCGGATCTCGGCACTGGTTTCAAGCTCAGTTCCGGTTTGAGTGCTGGGGTTTTGGACATTGACGCTCCATGTATTGTCTTTCTTGTGAGCGCACGGCAGAGTGTTTATTCATTCACTGAGCGCTTGTGTCTTACGTCATGTCTCTTATGTGATCACATGGGGTTTGTTTTGTTATTTGTGCCATGTGCTCGTGTCTGTTCTCTACTCCTCCCCTCTCATTACCTGATCATTGATTCATTTGCCCCAGCTGTTTACCTGATTGCTTTTTCCTTTTAAGCTCCCTGTGTTTTCTGTTCTGGGCTCGTTTGTCTCACATATGTACCTGTTCATGCCTGTGATTTCTGTCTGCCCTGTGCCCAGTTTATGTCCCGTTTTCAGCATTTATGCTACTCTGGCTTTTTCCCCTTTGGGGTGGTTTCAGTTGTGTTTTTGCTTATTCTGTGATTTATAAATAAATCAGAATCAGAATCAGAATGAGCTTTATTGCCAGGTATGTTTACACATACGAGGAATTTGTTTTCGTGATAGAAGCTTCCACAGTGTAACAGAATGACAGTGACAGAATGCCCACTCAGGATCCCCTCGAGGCAGCGGCGCCCGCTCACGATCCTCCAGAAGCGGCGGCTCCCGCTCACGATCCTCCCAAGGCGGCGGTGCCCGCTCACAATTCTCCCGAGGCGGCGGTGCCTGCTCATGATCCTCCCGAGGCGGCTGTACCTGTTCACGATGTTCTTGAAGCGGCAGTGCCCGCTTAGGATCCCACTGAGACGGCGGCGCCCGCTCATGATACTCCCGAGGCAGCGGTACCCGCTCACGATGTTCTCGAAGCGGCGGTGCCCACTCAGGATCCCACTGAGGCAGCGGTGCCCGCTCATGATTATCCCGAGGTGGCAGTGTCTGCTCAATATGTTCCAGAAGCAGCGGTGCCCACTCACAATTTTCCCGAGGCAGCGATGCATGCTCATGATTTCCCCAGCTCTTGAACTCTGCACCTGTCCTGTCATGGCCAGGGTGGCCTTCCCCAAACTCTGTGCCTGTCCTGTTGCGGCCAGGGAGGCCGTCCCTGAACGCTTTGTCTGTCCGGTCCCGGCCAAGTTGGCCGTTAAGATTATTATTTTGCCTTTTTATTCCAAACCCCTCTGGTCTGTCCCTCCCGTTCCTCTCTTGTCATCCACCAGGGTCCCTGAGCCTCCCAATACTCCCTGGCTTATTGGGAGGCGTCCCTTTTGGGGAGGGGCACTGTCATGGTCCTGAAAACTGTACTTTAAAGAAATGCTTAACACTGTTATTTACACTAACATTATCGTAACGTGTCAATATAATTCAATTGTACAGCATCTTTAACTTCAAAATACGTATAACTGCAAATTCAATTTAACGTTGCAGAATATCTCTTAAAGGGACAGTGCACCCAAAAATGAGTGCAATTTTCTTATCATTTACTCACCCTCCTGTCATTTCTTTATTCTGTAGAACACAAAACAAGAAATTTTATAAAATTGTGTGATCTTTTTTTATCCATACAGTGAAAGTCAATGTAATTCATTGTACTTCTGGACCCAACTGACTTTAAATATATGGAGAAAAACAGTAGACATTTTTTTCAAAATATCTTCTTTTATGTTCCACAGAAGGACGAAAGTCATTTAGAATGACATGGAGTAAATGATGACACAATTTTTGGGTGAACTACCCCTATTGAACATTCATATGAGAGTGATTATAAATGAGCAAAATTTCATCTGTTTCTGAAACTAATCTATTCTATGACTTCAGAAGACTCAAAACATAAAGCATTTATCGCAAATAATTGTACATATTCCCCTTTCTAATGATGTCAAACCCTTTGCGTGTCAGTCAAAATGAGCTGCTAATGCGCAAACTCATCAAAGACATTCTGATTCAGATTTGATTAAATGTGATTCTCAGCTGAGGACTCCATTAAACAACATGTGACTGAATGACAGGAACTTATAGAGGAATAATAGGAGAGCATATTTCTTTTACTCATTTTCTTCAACAAGACTTAATCACATCTTCCCAAACAGGGCTCAGGAAGTGTCTCTTCTGGGATCGCCTGGGAAGGAAATTAAAAAATGAAATTAATCTGACCTTCTGGAGAAGAGGAAGGGTTCCTCGAAGCGCCGCAAAATAATGATACCAATCTGCACCTTTTCCCACCGACACCCCAAGAGAGGGGACCACTGAGCGCATTTCTCTCCCTAGAGTACTCTCTCTGGCTTTCTCTCTCTCTCTCTCACACACACACACACACACACACACACATACACATACACATACACATACATAGAATAATATTCATAATAGAGATCTCCTCGCCACTGCCTCCTAGATATACAAGTGCAAATGCTACAATGTGCATCCCAAGACTCTGCAAAATACTCCAATTAAACATTACCGATAGACTACCTCACAACACATGCTAGATATTTTTTTGTGGTGCACTTTATTTATGCCAGTCACTACTTTTTCCATAAATAAAATGTAGCACTTCAAGACTCTTATTGACCAGTCCAGTATTAGTCTCATATAAATGACACTACAAATTACAATAATTAAATGTATAAAAATTTGTGCTGGGCAACGATTAATCGCGATTAATCACATTCAAAATAAAAGTTTGTGTGTACATAATATATGTGTGTGTACTGTGTATATTTGTTATGTATATATAACATGCATGTTTATATTTAAGAAAAATATGTTATGCTTATATGTTAAACATTTTTATTATACAGGGCTTTGAACTGGTTCAAGGAACGAAAACGAAAACTGGAAACAAACGGAATTTTGACAGGAACAGAACCAGAAACAGTAACAAAATCAAATTTTATAGTTCTGAACAGAATCGAAAATTTGAAATGGCCATTAACCGGTTAATAACATTATTTGATCATTCCATTTAATATTTGAAATTTGCATTCAACCAATCAGGAATTCAGATATGCAAATGTAACATTGACGCATCCAACTCGTGAAATGCTCGTGCTCAGCTGTAAATTCATCATAGGTAAGTCGCAATGGCAATACATTAGAACTTATCCGAGGATAGTGTAAATGGATTCAACAGATCATGCGCACCTGCACAATTGGTGGCTGACTAAATACTTTTTTGCCCCACTGTATATGGTGGTTATAATGTTTGTAAACGTTTTGATTTACCGGCATTTTAGCACATTATTTCTGAATGTAGCCTAATAATAAAATGCAATGTGAGCCTACGAGACTTAAGGGTTTTTTTCCCTCTCAAAACGCAATTTTACACAAGCAGGATTTTTTTTAACAATACAGCAAACATTTTTAAATATCTTAAAAAATACTTTAATGTCTTTAAAGCGTTAACAGATTTTTTCTTTTGTTTAGTGTGCAATGTGAGCCTACGAGACTTAAGGTTTTTTTTCCCTCTCAAAACGCAATTTTACACAAGCAGCATTTTTTTTAACAATACAGCAAACATTTTTAAATATCTTAAAAAATACTTTAATGTCTTTAAAGCGTTAACAGATTTTTTCTTTTGTTTAGTAGCCTATAATTTGGCCAAAACCTAGAAAAGATGATGCTGTATTGGCTGTGACTAAGCGCAGCGGGTTAAGATACCAGATCTCTTTCTGTTTTTGTTTCCTTTTTTGAGTAGAAAATGCTGTACTTTATTATTATTATTAGGTTATTATTATTATTTTTGTTATTATTATTGGCAAATAATAACCGGTATTTTTTATAGGCAAAATATCGATTCTGCTTGGAGTGAACCGATTGGATATATTTTTTTTTTCAAGCCCTGTTTATATATAATATAAATTATATTAATATAAATATAAACATGTAAATACATGTAAATATTTAAAAAATATATACTGTATGTGTGTCTTAATAAATACATAATAAATATACACAGTACACACACATATATTATATAAACAAAAACTGATATTTTGGATGCGATTAATTGTTGCCCAGCTTTTTTATTATATATTAAAAAATATAAAAATAATATTTCTAAAACTTCATACTTGTATGCATTATAATTTACTATATATATATATATATATATATATACATTAGCATTATATAGTGCCTTGCAAATTAGTTTTTTCTGTTTTTTTCTCCGCGTTTTGTTATGTTGCTGCCTTGTTAAACTGCTTTAAATCACTTTTTTCCACATCAATCTGCACTCCATACACCATAACGGTAAAGCAAAAAACTGATTTTTATGATTCCATTGCATAAGTATTTCTGGGACAGTTGAAATTTAGCTCAGGAGCATTCATATTGCTTGTAGATGTTACTACACTTCGAGTGAAGTTAACCTGTGGAAAATTCCCTTGAATGGTTTGATTTGGAAAGGCACACGCATCTTAATAAAAGGTCTAACAGCTGATAATGCATATCAGAGCAAAAACCAAGCACTGAGGTCAAAAGAACTGCCTGTAGAGCTAAGAAACAGGTTTGTGTCAAGCCACACATCTTGGGAAGAGTTCAGAAAAAAATTCTGCTTCATTGAAGGGTCACAGAAGCATGTAGTCTCCATTACCCTTAATGGAAGACGTTTGAAACAACCAGGACTCTTCCTAGAGCTGGCCTCCTGGCCAAACTGAGCAATTGATGGAGAAGGGCTTTGGCTAGTGTGGTGACCAAGAACCTGATGGTCACTCTAGTTGAGCTCCATGATCATATGTGGAGATAGGAGAAACCTACAGAAGGACAAACATCACTGCAACACTCCACCGATTTGGGCTTTATGGCCATGTGGCAAGACTCAATCCTCTCTTCAGTTAAGACACATGAAAACACACTTGGCATTTGCAAAAAAGCACCTAAAGGACCCTCAGACTCTGAGAAACAAGATTCTCTGGTCTGATGAACCTCAATTATAAGCATCATGTTTGAAGGAACCAGCTCTGCTCATGACCTGCAGAGTACCATCCCAAAAGTAAAGTGTGCTGGTAGCAGCCTCATGCTGTGGGACTGTTTTTCAGCGACAGGGACTGAGGAACTCGTCAGAGTAGAAGAAAAGCGCAATGCACCAAAATATAGAGATAGCCTTAATGGAAACCTAGTCCAGAACATTCAGAACCCCAGACTGGGCAGACGGTTCACCCTCCAACAGGACAGTGACCCTTAGCACACAGCAAGAGTGGCTTATAGACAACTCTGTGAATGTCCTTGAGTGGCCCAGCCACAGTCTGGGATTGAACCCAATCAAATATTTCTGGAGAAACCTGAAAATGTGCACCTGCCACCAACCAACCCGACAGAGCTTGAGAGGTGAAGAGGTGAGGGGAAGAATTGCAGATAATTGCCAAATGCTGATGAGCAAGGCCGAGATCCAACTACAAGCTTTTTAACTGCAGCAACTTTAATATACGCTATTGGAGCTGGAATTACCATGGCTGCTGGTAATAATAATTATTGCATTAAACAAAAAAAGACTGTAAAGGTGCTTCAGCTAAATATTTAGTTAAGGGTATAAATACTTATGCAATGTACTTATTTCAGTTTTTTTATTTTTAATAAATTTACGAAGTTGTGACAATTCTGTTTTTGCTTTGTCAATATGGTGTATGGAGTGTAGCTTGATGTGTAAAAAAGTCATTTAAAACAGTTTAACATAAGGCAGAAACATAACAAATGTGAAAAAAATTAATACTTTCGCAAGGCACTGTATACACACACACACACACACACACACACACACACATATATATATTGTATATATTATATTAATACATATATTAATAAATATTTATAATCTATATTAATCAAATAATGCTTCTCCTTATTTTTGCAATGATTAAGATATGATACTTTCATCTTGCAGAATAATGTTAACTCTAAAATAGTACGTGCTAAATGTTTTCAAACAATGAAATTACAAATTTAACCACCACATGGAGTGGTCCAGACGCTACAACATGATCAATAAAACACTTCTATCACAATTAGAATTTTTTTTCTTCTTAAAATACATTAAAACATCAGTGCATTATCATCAAACTGCTATCATTAAAAAATATTAATGTATACCTCATCCCTCAAAGACTCCCAAAGACATGCAAAGCACTTTGAAAGGACAGAACGTTTTTTATTACTGATCACTTTTGCTCTTTTCTTTTGGTTTGATAAATGAGCTTTGCTGGACTGCTATTAAACTGGCTGTCTAACTTTCTAGATGGCAGCCAATTTACAACCTGTATAACAACCTCTGAGATTTGACCCCGTCAAGACATGTATGTAATAATTCATAATCTGTGCAATAACGATTCTGACCTCTTCATGAATTAAAATGAGACTGATGTTTTGGGAAATTCACTGAGATTCTTGAATCAAAAAAGCTAGAAGAAAGGAAAAATAGATAATACTCGTTAAACATGGCTCAGTCACTATTTATTTTCTGTGCTGCCTGTTTCATTAACATTGAGAACATCTATTTTTATCACAACAGTGTAGATGGTTTTTATCTTCCTGAAGTGGAATATTTGATGTAGCCATGGATACCATGGATATGTAAAAGCAATGTGTAAACACTAATGAGAAATAATTATGACAGGATGATTAGAACTCAGCAGTTCTCATTATTTCTCAAGGCCCACAAACACTTGTACAACCGCTTTGTGAGCCATCTGTTGTGCTTGTTTGGTATCTATGGGTGGGTTTAATTTTGTATTGATGATTTCATTTTGATTTGGGTTCTGGTACTGTCACAGTTGGCAAAATAACAAGTCTGATCTCACTCAGGGGAGAAGAGAAAACATTCAACATCAGCAGATACTGTAGATGTCCCACAGACAGAAAAACTTACACCATGTTTAGTCATGTCCACATGTATGAGGTCACTGTTCCCTAATGGGTGCACAGCAACAAAATACATACTTTCCATATCATACACATCCAGCCAAATGCTAATGGAAACGCCTAAAATACTTCATGCTTACAATAAAAGAAATGTGGGTTGCATTGAATCTATTAATTTGGAAGAGCTTATGTTTGTCTGAGCCATGTGTACCTGTTCCTGACACGGTGAGCTGTGACAAAGATTGAGCCCTGCTTGCTTGTTCTAATCCCATTTAATCAACAATTTACTGATTAGGGCTAAACAATATAGGGGACAAAAAAAACATTTTGTTTTCATTCAGTATATAATGTGGTATTAAAAATAGAGCCCGACCGATATGGGTTTTTTGGGGCCGATACCGATACCGATATTAGGGGGTAAAAAAAAGGCAGATACCGATACATCGGCCGATATTCTTTGTGTATTTTATAGTACAGTACCAGTCAAAAGTTTGGACACTTCCCATTCGTGTGTCCAAACATTTGACTGGTACTGTATATAGAATTAATTTTAATGAGAAACAACGAAAAACAGGTGAATAAAGACTGACAGTCAATGTTTAATGTTTAGAAA